AACAGTGACCTTGATACCAAATGTCAGAATTCCATCTCTAATACAACGCCACATTTTGTGGCATTTTTATAGTACGAATTTCCACAACAATCTCTTTCTCTAAACAATATCAAATTACAGTATTTCTGAGTATTTCAGCTAAATTTAATTTTGTACTTTTCGATGAATTATAATTTTCCCCATTACCAATTTAAGTACCATTTAGTACAATTATAGTACGCATTTCCAAAACCAGCTCCTTCTCTCAACCACAGGTACCAAGAGTGACATATTCCTTTACCCAATACAAAACTTAGCAATATGAAGTACTTTTCGTACAATTATATTACATATTTCAAAAACCACATCCATATTTTAATCACTGACACCGACTGTTAAATCTACAGGGTGAGTTGAAAAAACTGCGACCATCTTCAGACTGCTGTCATTTCCAAGCCATTTGTCCGACAGCTGTTAAAATTATTCCAGTGATAGCTCATTTTATTGTTTACAAGCGTACAAAAGCATTTTGGTGAGAATTTTCCAAAAAAAAAGTTATTCGTGAGGGAATTCAAGTGTGATTCTGTGATTTCCTTACATTTGGCTGGAAAAACACAAATGGCTATCGTTAGAGCACACTAGCATTTAAATGTGAATAAATATTTTGTGTATCGTACCATCGCTCGTTACCGTAATACTGGTAGCGTAGCCCGACGTCAAGGAAGTGGACGGAAGAAAACAGCAACATCAGCAGAAATGGTTCGAAAAGTAAAGAAGCGACTTGATCGAAATCCCGCGTCGCAGTGGCCGAAAAATGGCTTGTGAGCTGAACATATCGCAATATTCCATTCGGCAAATATTGAAAAATGAGCTCGGGGTAGAGCCATTCGAATTCCAAAAAGTGCAAGGACTTACATCGCAACAGAAAGAAAATAGATTCAAAAGAGCTAAAGAGTTGCTTCGCTTTTCCAAATATGATGAACTGCCAAATTTGGTTTTCTATCTAAACTTATTCTAAAATTTGATGCTATTTCCGACATTTTTTGCTTTCATTCAATAAAATTTAAAAAAAAGTAAAAATTATGGCGTTTGACTTTGTTGCAGTTTCTTTTTATCCCACCCTGTTTATCAAATTTCAGGATTTCCGCTCTATTCCTTCACCCAATACCAAATTTAGAACTATTAAGTACTTTTCGTATAATTATATTTGCTGCATTTCCAAAACGTCTTCCATAAATCAGTTCCAGATATCAACACAGACGTCAATATCAAATTTGGGGAATCCAGACCTATTCATTCAACCAATACCAAATTTAGTATCATTTCGTACTTTTCCTGCAAATAATGGAGGCATTTCCAAACCACCACCATGTCTCAAACACGTTTTCGTAAAATTACACTACACTTTTCCAAAACCACCTTCATACCGAATATAAGATTTTAAGCACTATCTATTCACCCAATACCAAAATAGTACTATTGAGTACTTTTGGTGCACTCGTAGTACCCATTCACAAATCTACAACAAAAAGGGACCTCAATACAAAATTTAAAAATTCCAGCTTTATCCGTTCACAGTTCAACGAAACCTTATCACACGTCTACGCAGTAAGACTGGCCCTTGTGCAAAATGTCAATTTCCCTTTATATATAGAATCAATTATATAGAAATAAAACATTGTAATGTAAAACAAGCAAGCAAAGGCTACAGTCGAGCGGGGCCGACCGTTGAATACCCTACAACACTATAATAAACGATACAGTTGATATAGGCGAGAAACTCGAAAGAATTCCACAAGATATTGTGACAAATAATAAAAGAAAACCATCAGGTTTTTTTCTCTAATTTTCGAAAAATAGCAACTTAAACTAATTTGCTAATTTCCAATTTATTGGTAGATATTGCACTTAAATGGTCTTCCTAGATCTGGAACCAATATTTCCCAAAGACCTATAATCTCTCAGAAGTGTTAAAAGATTAACATTTATTATTGGTTTTTGACTGTAACGCATCTATATGAGATACAGATATTTGACTATATTCTTCAACGAAATCAGCGTTAACGAAATAGTCAGAAGTGCGTCTTTCCTGTATTTGTGAATTCTACAAAGAGTCACTGGAATGGACATTTTCGTATTTTGTCTACAAAAGTTGGCAAACTATTTCGCACATTGAATATTTTTGGATGGCCATCCAAAACTGCTTGGCTTTTGCAATGTCCGGTAACCCCCATTCAAATGTGCGTGAGGATCGGGCGACAATTACGACGTGCTGACAATTTTGCAGTTTTTTGGTCCATTTCAACTCTCCTATTCTGACCCTCATCTTATCCCCATGCGAAATTTCGTAAAGATCGTGCCATAAATGCGATCTGTATATGATATCCTGAAATCCTAACTACTTAGTTTTGTTAGCTGTAGAAATATTACCAAATGTTTAATTCAAAATGAAAATATGCCAAAAATATGACAAAATTGAAAAAATATGAGAACATTTTACAAAATCAATATTTTCATCTTTAGAGAGATATTTTCATACGATTTTTTAGACGTTTTTTCTTTCCTGCCAAGAGACCATTCTGAATTAATGAGAACTGTCGAAATCAGTTCAGCCGTTCTCGACATATAAGAGATTTTTCAAGCATATCTTCTTTGATAAACATATATATCGCACATATTTTGCTATATATCCGTTTTGTTGGATGTTACCATCAATGTAAAGATCAGAGGTAACCTTGTCACGGCTTTGTGATTTCGCCGGGATTTAAAATATTCGCGGTTTAATGAAAATTTTTGAATTTTTTCAACACAAAAGATATGGTCTATTTTACCCGCTAAATATTGTCCGATGACCAAATTGGTAGGCTTCTTCACCGCCCTCAACTCTAGCTACATGCGAAATTCCGCGTCGATTGGTCTATAATTGCGACCTGTATAGCTACTGCAAAATACGACATTTTTTCAGTATTTGGTTCATTTCAACCCCTAAACATTTGGCGATCATCTCCAAAAGAAATAGGCTTCTATTCTCGCCCTAACCCCACCTTCGTACAAAATTTCGTTAGGATCGGGACATAATTGCGACCTGTAGCGTGATTACAAATTAACATGGACAGACGGACGGACGGACATACATAGCTAGATCGACTCAACTCGGCGAGCTAGGAAGATCCATATATACTTTCCTATATGGGAAACCAATATTTCGAGGTGTTACATAAATTATGGCCCAATCAAACTTATAATACCCCCAACACATAGTGTTGTTGGGTATAAACATGTAAAATAAAACAAAACACAAACAAATTCTATCACACATTCCAAACTTCTTTGCAACTTTACATACAAATTTATATAGGATCTATATCCAAATCTGAAACGATATCAATACAATTTTACAAATTTATTTTCTGATCAAATCCCGTCACTCATTCCAAATTTCATTGGAATCGAACATATATAATGTTTGGTGCATCAAAGTAACGAAATCGGTCGATAATACATATATGACCTATATCTACTTCTGATAATTTGGCGAGATTATTTTTTGCCAAATTCCGTTACACATTCTAAATTTGGAGACTGTATCTAAACCGATCAATGGATATGTGCATTGAAAAACTGAATTTTCTGGAGGTACCTCAGATTCAGATGCTGTATCTCCAGTTCCAAGTGTAAATTTAAAAATTTATAAAGCCTATGTTACTATTTTCAGGCAATGTTTTATTGCAGGGAAATCAGTTTAGCAGTTTTTGAGTCTATACATTACAAACAATCAAACGTACATTTTCCTCTTTTATAGATATACATAGATAATCAAAATATTACTTCTTATTTTGAAATTGAGGATTCAAAATCTTAAAGATAGAAAAACCAGTAAAGAAAGTCTTAAAGTCGGGCGGGGCCGACTTTATGATACCCTACACCACTTTGCTAATTTAGTAGAGCTCCACATAACAATTAAAAGTTTTTATGGGAGAATTCAATCATACACGCTATGATTATAATTATAATTTAAAGTTCAAAGGACTAAACATGCCGAAGCATTTGTATCTTTTAAATTCGGACTTGTATTGACCATTTGGTGCACAATTAATTTGAAATCGGATAAATATATATATGGGACCTATATCCAAATCTGAACCGATCTCGATAAAATTTGGCAAAGATATTTCTGAGCTGTATTTGATATATTTCCCTGAATATCGTTGTTACGGAGTGCATATTACGGTTGTGGGTAACAAATATAACAAATCGGATGAATAATATATATGGAGGCTATAGCTATATCTGAACCGATTTCGATCAAATTTGGCATACATATTTTTAGGCCTAATTTGGTTGTATGTGCAAAATTCCATACAATTCGGGCTGATATTACACGTTTGGTGCACAATAAAAGGCAAATTGGACGAAGATATATATGGGAGCTATATCTAAATTTTGGCCGATTGTCTCCAATTTCAATAGGGTTCGTCCTTGGGCCAAACAAATGATCTGTGCAAAATTTCATCTGGATCGGGCAATAAATGCGACCTGTACTTTGTTTACAAAAATACATGGACAGACGGACAGACGGACGGACGGACATGCATAAATCGACTCAGAATGTGATTCTATGCAGATCATCAAAAGGAACTATGGGTCTATCTCGTTTCCTTTTGCCTGTTACAAACAAATGCACAAAGACATAATACCCTGACCACCTTGTGGTGTAGGGTATAAATAGAGTATTTGATCCAGTGTTCCAATAATGCAGACACATATCCTATTAAAATATATGTTGTAGTAATATTTCTTATTGGATATATATTTGAGCTGCCATTATTTTGCATTCCAGTGGGTTGGCCGTTATTCTCTCTTTTGCTCACCGGATGTATTTGTTAGCACATAATTCCATTTTAAATAAATGAGTATAACATTTTCAGATTAAATGGCTTCATTTCAATGTAATTTCAATTATCAATTTAATATGTACACATTTTTTTATTCATTTATTTATATTTGTTTCCAAAACTCACCTGCATTAGAAAACATAACGCAATTGTTAATGACACTTTTTTCAATCTCATCTTCAATGGTTTTGGGAAAAGTCGGTCAGTATGTGTGAAAGAAATCTGAAAAAAAAAACATAGAAAAATAAATACATTTTCGAATTATTTTCCAAGTGAAAGTTATTTATTCATTCATTATGTTTGGCAATCTTGAGATTAGCATAAAACATAAATTGACACAGAAATTCTACACATGTTCGGTTGTTGTGGTTGTTGATCTTGTTGTTGTATAATTGAAATTGTGTACATTTCTTTTGTTTTTTTTTTATTTATCCACAACAAGATAAAACTTTATTTGATTTCAATTTAATTTCGACATGATTTTGCTATTAATTGCCACAAATAAGTGTCAAGTGAAATTATTGGCAACAAACAACGGCAGCAAACAATGTCATCATTTAGATGCTATTGTTGTTGTTGCATTGTTATCAGGGATGGAAAACACAGTGATTTGGACTTCGTTTAGAATTTAACCTGAACAAATTAATCTGATATCGGATAATGATATGTATGAAGCTAAATCTAAATTTGATCCGATCTCGAAGAAAGAGGTATTTCTGGGCTGTATCTTATATCTGGTGCCAAATATTATTCTTATGGAGTGCATATTACGCATGTGAGGGACTTAAACACCAAATCGGATAAAATATATATTTCGGAGCTATATCAGAACCGATAAAATTTTATTTATCGCATTTATTTCTGAGCTGTATCTAATATCTGATACCAAAGATCATTGTTGTAGAGTGCATATTACGCATATAAGGGGCTTAAAAGCACAAATCGGATGAAACATTTCACAAAAATTTAAAGCACCTACTTTTAGCCTGAATTCCGTCGGAAGTGCTAAAATGCAGTCAAGTTGGGCTGATATTAGCCATTTTGTGCACAAAAACCTGAAATCGGAGCTGTGGAGTGCATATTACTCATGTGAGGGAATATATCACCAAATCGGATGAAACATATATATACAGGAGCTTTAGCTATATCTGAACCGATTTTCACCAAATTTGAAGTACTTGTTTCTAGGACGAATTCAATTGATTTGGGCTGACATTAGCTATTTGGTGCACAATTAACCTGATATCGGGTAAAGATATGTATGGAAACTAAATCCAAATCTCATCCGATCTCGATAAGATTTGACAGAGGTATTTCTGGGCTGTATCTGATATCTGGTACCAAATATCATTCTTGTGAAGTGCATATTTCGAATGAGAGGGACTTAAATACCAAACCTGAAATAGGATTAAGATATATGTAGGAGCTACATCCAAATCTTAACCGATCTTGACAAAATGCTAAGCACTTATTTCTGAGCTGTATCTGATATCTAGTACCAAAGATCATTGTTGTGGAGTGCATATTACGCATGTGAGGTACTTTAATTACGCATGTGAGGAATCGATTTTTACCAAAATGTGAAGTACTTCGTTCCGAATTGAATTCCGTCGGAAGTGCCAAAATTCAGTTCATTTGGACTGAAATTGGCCCGAAATCGGTTGAACATATATATGGAGCAATATCTAAATTTGAACCGATTCTCGCCAATTTTAATGGGGTTCATCCTTGGGCCAAAAAAAAAAAATATTGTTTGGAAAATTTAATCTCAATAATAATTGTGACCTGCATTTTTTTCACAAAAAATACATGGACAGACGGACTGGCATGCATAACTCGGCTCAGAAAGTGGTTCTATGAAGATCCTCAAAAGTAACTATGGGTCTGTCTCGCTTCTTTCACCATGATACAAACAAATGCTTAAAGACATAATACCCTTACCCCTGGTGTAGGGCATAAAAACCCAAAGTTCGTCTTTGTATAGAAAATGTTTGGTCTTATTATAGCAGAAGGCGTTTTAAAGGCAAATTAAAGGCATCCTTTTATAGGTTTCTACAGACCAACGCCTTTCTGTAGGTCTACTATAAATTGAATACCTTTTATACGTCTTCTATGGATGGAAGACATTATGTAAAAATAAAAGGTCCTACCGGTCTTCTAAGAATGGAAAACCTACCTTGATCTGCTTCGAAAGTAAACCTACTGCATTCTCTTTCCTAGGTAAAAAAGTTTAAAATATAACATCCCATCTCTGGTATTTGTACGCAAATGTTTCGGCCGAATGATTATAATTGTGTGTTAATTTGCTTATCCACTTGTCTTGACGCCCATCTCTTCATGCATCCATTGTATTTGGTCGAATACAATTAGAGAGAGATTTTCTATTATAAAACTCTCTAATGGACATCTACATACATACAGCCATTCAGACATTGTCATATGTTGTTGCCTTGCCTATAAGTTGTTGTACTGGAGCTTGTTGGTAGCTCCAGGCAACCCTCCTACAAGTGTTTGGATGTTATAAAATTGAAAGAGTACATAAATAGGGTATATTCTGCAAATACATCTGGAGGGCATTGTGTGTCAATCATTTATTGTGTGTGGCTGTCTGTCTGTCTTTGTGGCCGTTAGTGACCACAAAGAAACTTCGGAAACATTATTACATTTTTATTATGGAAATTACCACCGGCTGATTTCACTTTCTACAGATTATGTATCGATGTGGTCATTGTTATTGGGAATCATCTGCCGAAATTGGTTCAAATTACGGTTTAGAAATTTAATCAGCACATTCATAATGATATCTGATGTTGAGGGGCCAAATTAAAAATATTAAGTAGAATGATTGTATGTATGAGACCTGTAGTGTCAACGACCCAAGCAAATTGGTAACATTCGAAACACTGAAGTAGAGAATTACGATTTCTGCAGGAAAGATGAAAAAATAAAAGTCATATTGATTAGCTGAAAGTATAGCATATTTTGTAAGCGTGGGGTATAAATTGTTAAGGTAAAATACCCATATGCCATAGATAACTAATAAATGTAGTTTTGTATTTTTATATTCTACAATACTATGTGTTGAAAATATTAAAAGTTTGATTGGGCCAAAAGTTATGTAACACCTCGTAATATTGGTCCCCGACATAGGAAACTATATATTGGTCCTCCTATTTCGCCGAGCTGTGTCGATCTAGCTATTTATGTCCGTTCGTCTGTCCATCGGTCCATGTTAATTTGTTATCACGCTACAAGTCACAATTATGGCCCTATCCTCACGAAACTGAAAATTGAGGTGGGGTCAGAATAAAACCCTAACCTAAATAGAATAGAAAGATGATCGCAAAATATGTAAGGGTTGTAATGGACCAAAAACAGAAAAATTTCCTGATTTTGCTGTTGCTCTACTGGACACAATTATAAACTAATCGACGCGGAATTTTACATGGAGTTCGAGTTTAGGGATGGGTAGAAGCCTACCAATTTGGACGGATAAAATAAACAATAACTTCTATGTCAAATGCCCCTGGTCAAAAAGCTTAGGGTACCATCTGGACAGTGCTTTATGACATTTCAAAAACGAAATCTTTCGAAATAGATTTGGACATAAGGTGGCTTCCAACATATTGTAGGGTATCACAAAGTCGGCCCCGCACTTATTTCATATTTATATTTATACAATTTTCTTTTTGTTTCCAAACAAAGGAAAAATATCACTGGGCCATGTTGGATAACAAGTTGTGGCCTGCTTCGGAAACTCAAGCATCGTTGTAACCATAATAAATCGATAATAAAAGCGGAGCTGACAATACTTCATATATTTATTTGAACAGACCTAGCCTCATTCGATGTTTTTGTTTAATTTCAATAGTTACAGTTACTGCGATTTATTTTCTTTTATTTGTTACCTAATATTCCACCCACTTTACGATATGCCACTACAATAGGACCCCATTTACAATGAAAATAAATGCCATGTATTTACTTTGTTTTGGGTCACGTGCAAAATATTGTATAAGACAAACAAATAGTAGTAGTCTTAAATATATGTGATATAATAAAATGACACACAATGTTTTTTCTTCCTTTTTTATATAAAATCAATTATATTTTATCAACGGAAGCAATGATGACCTAAAACGCGGCTAGAGAGAAAAAAAAACAATTTTGCTAACAAAGGTTGTTAAGATTGGTGGAAAGGAAAGTTATCCGCTGAAGAGTAAACAAAAAACATTTTAAAGTTTATTTTAAATCTGGTAAGGAAAAAACCAACATCGCGGGGGTCGAACTATTTGATACCCCATGTATACATAACAAGTAAAGAAAGTCTTAAAGTCGGGAGGGGCCGACTTTATGATCCCCTAAACCACTTTGCTAATTTAGTAGAGCAAAATATGCCGAAGCATTTGTATCTTATAAATTCGGATTTGGTGTATTTGGTGCACAATTAATTTGAAATCGGATAAAAATATATATGAGAGCTATATCCAAATCGGAACCGATCTCGATAAAATTGGCAAATATATTTCTGAGCTGTATTTGATATATTTCCCTGAATATCGTTGTTACGGAGTGCATATTACGGCTGTGGGTAACAAATATAATAAATCAGATGAACAGTATATATGGGAGCTGTAGCTATATCTGAACCTATCTTCACCAAATTTGACATACTAGCTTCTAGACTCAATTCGGTCGTAAGTGCCAAATTCCATACCATTTGGACAAATATTAGACGTTTGGTGCACAATCAAAAGTAAATCGGACGAAGTTATATATGGGAGCTATATCCAAATCTAAACCGATCTCGATAAATTTACCAAGGTATTTCTGAGCTGTATTTGATATATTTCCCCAAATATTGTTGTTACAGAGTGCATATTACGGCGGCGGAGGACAAAAATAACAAATCGGAAGAACAATATATATGGGAGCTATAGCTATATCTGAACCGATTTCGATCAAATTTGGCATACTTATTTTCAGGTGCAATCTGATCGTACGTGCACAATTCCATACTATTCGGACTGATATTACACGTTTGGTGCACAATAAAAGGCAAATGGGACAAAGATATATATGGGAGCTATATCTAAATTTTGACCGATTATCTCCAATTTCAATAGGGTTCGCCCTTGGGCCAAACAAATGATTTGTGCAAAATTTCATCTGGATAGAGCAATAAATGCGAACTGTACTTTGTTTACAAAAATACATGGACA